CTCAGACTGGTTCCCCGTGGTCCTGCTCAACCAGTCTGCTCGGGTGTTTAAGTCCCCTGAGATGTGCTCGGCTTTGAGAGAGAGGAGATTGCGCTCCGCCCAACGGCAGAGGCACTCTGCCTCTCTCATCAAACGGATGGACTGGGTGCCCCCTTGTCGGTTGACATGGGCCTTGGCGGTGATGTTGTCCGTAAGTATAAGGACATGCCGCCCACGTACCTGAGGGAGGAAGTGGCGTAGGCCCAGGTGGATGGCGCGGAGTTCCAACCAGTTTATACTGCATGCCCGTTCTACCTGAGACCATCTGCCCTGTGTCGAAAGCGAGTGGATGTGAGCGCCCCCTCCGGACAGGCTGGCGTCTGTGGTGAGGGTGAGGCGTTGGGGCTCCTTGAAGCCATGTCCCTGTTGATGACGGGACTGGTCCACCAGAGGAGAGACGTGAGGACCTTTGAAGGCACCTTGACCGTGGCCTTTGAATTGCTACTGCCGGACCATTGGAACGGAAGCAGGAACCACTGTAGGGACCTGGTGTGTAACCGGGCCCAGGGAACAATGGAAATACATGAGACCATTTTACCTAGTAGCTTAGACAGATCCAAAAGTGTTACCCTTCTTGAACGTCTGACTTGTTTGACGGTTTCCTGAATGCTAAGGAATCTTTCCGAGGAAGGGAAAATCTTTCCCCGAACTGAGTCAATGACGGCCCCCAAGTGGGTGATCCGTGTAGATGGTAACAGTTGACTCTTTTTCCAGTTTACCGGAAACCTATGGTCTTGGAGGGCAGAGAGGGTAGCTCTGACATCCTTCTCTGCTTGGAGTCTGGAGTGGGACAGGATGAGGATGTCATCCAGGTAACAATGGAGACGAACCGGGAGGTTCCTGAGGTGGGCCGCCAGAGCCGCGAGGACCCTAGTGAAGGTCCTCGGGTTAGAGGCCAGCCCAAAGGGAATGCCCACATATTGGAAGTGGTGGTGGTTGTAGCAGAATCTGAGGAATATGGAATGGGAGGGCCGGATTGGAATGTGGAGATACGCCTCTGAAGGTCTATAGAGGCTAGCCAATCCCCCTGTCTGATGCCCAGGAGAATGGACTGTAGGGTGTGCATCTTAAACCTGCGGTAAATCAGGTAACGGTTGAGGCGTTTCAGGTCTAGAATAGCCCTCCATCCCCCTGAGGATTTGGGGACCACGAAGAGGTGAGAGTAAAACCCCTGCCCCCACTGGGATGGTGGGACGGGTTGTATGGCCTGTATGCTAAAGAGATGCTGAATGGCTGAATCCATTAAGTTGCGTTTAGTGGGGTCCCTCGAAGGGGGGATGCCATAAAGAAGTCAGGGGGGTGCGCTGGAATTCAAGCGCGAGACCAAATCTGATGGTGTCCCGGACCCCGGCATCGGAAGTGGAGGAATCCCATCGGTCGGCGAAATGCCTGAGGCGTCCGCCGATGGGAAGGGAGGGACGAGGTCTATCTGGTGCGCCGGAAGGGCTACCCTCCGGAGCCCCTGAAGGGACGTCTGTAGCTGCCGCCCCTCCTGTTCCTGTCACCTGGATCGGCTCGATCCTGGGGCTGGAATGGCCGGAAGGAGGGGGGTCTCGGATACCTGGGCTGGAAAGGTGACTGGTAGAAGGGTCGGGAGGGACCTCTCCGAAAGGGCTGGGGGGCTCTTGACTCTGACCTCCGAAAAAGGGGGGGAAGAAATTTTTTCTTACTTCGGGGTTCGGATAGCAATGGCTCCAGGGCGGCGCCAAAGAGTCTGTTCCCCCTTAATGGGGGCAGTGGCCAGCTTAACCTTGTTTTTTATGTCCGCCTGCCAGTGCTTGAGCCAGAGCAGGCGGCGAGCTGTAACGTGAGAGGATATCACTCGGGTGGAGAACTTCACCGCGTGGTAGGTGGCGTCGGCCGAGAATTCTGCTGCGGCCGTCAACTTTGCGATGTCCTGATGTGCCCTTGTGTTAGAGGGGGGAACATGCTGTTTCAGTTGGCGGAGCCACCGGATCGAGGACCTGGTGAAAGGGAAGCGGCCATGGCCGATCTAATGGCCCAGGTGTCAGCCTGATGAGTCCTACGTAAGGCCAGTTCGGACCTTTTGTCCTCGGGTTTCGGGCTTCCAGGGGGTCACTGGGGGAGGACGAGGATACTAAACCAACGATGGGCTCGTCTACCTCGGGAGTGTTAAGCAAGTTGCAAAAGCTCAGCTCGAGGTTAAAGAACCTCTTGTCCTGGCTGGATGTGGCCGGGGGAGCTCTTGTAGAGTCCAATTGGTCTGAAACTAGGTCGTGGAATATGGGTGGGGCCGGAATAACCTTCGCCTCCACCACGGGCTGCCTAAAAATGGCGTCCTCTTGTCCCTCTGCCGGGGCGGGGAGAGCCGGAGAGGATTGAACCGACAGGCCAGAAATGTTCTTGGCCTAAAGAGTAGTGATTAAGCATGTGTGGCTTGAACAAACCCAGAAGGTGGGTTGATCGGGAGTGAGGCCCTCGTCCTCGGACATGTCTCCTTCTATCGGGTCTATCTCCGATAGGGGTTCCCCTTGTGTAGACCCCCATTCAAGATCCTCCTCCTCCCCGAACCTATCCAGGTCCTCTATAGCCTCCTCCATTTCCCCTTCTGGGAGGGGGCTGTCCCCCCATAAAGGTACCTGACCATGGGTAGGGTCCAATCTAGGTGAGGACCTGACTGATGGCGAGTCGTGTTCGGGCGCCATCGAGGGGGGACCGGACCTGTACATCTGTTGAATGCCCTCTGCTATCCCCTGGCGGATAGCCCGTTCCATCCATGCCTGCATGTGCGCAGGGATCTCGACAGTGGCGGCCTCCTCCTGGCGCAGACCAGCGGCCGTGGGCGTGAAAGTAGCTTCGGCCGGCCGTCTGGTTGTTGATTCAGGGACCTGGTGTCCCTGGGATAAGCTGCGCCTGGAGAGGGAAGAACAATCTGGGGGAGGGGGGGTGTCTGGAGGTAGAAGGAATGGAGGGTGGGAGGGCTGGGGGCACTGGTTGTGCCTCTCTAGATCGAGTGCCCTATGACGCCTTAGGGCGTCTCTCTGAGAAGCCTTGGAAGTTTCCTTAGGGGCTTCCTTAGCCTGTCTGCGCAGGTGGTAGGACTTAGATCTGGCCTTCAAAGAAGAGCCTCTAGCAGAATTGTCATCTGCCATTATAGAAGAAAGGACTATAGGTCCAATTTAAGGCGGTTGGCTCGCCAAGGGTTCAGCCTACAACAAGGCCGGGTGTCCTTTCAGCCGGCCCGCGCCCCCTTTTGGAATTTAGATATATAAATTCTACAATATTATTGCTGTTATAATTATTGATATAAATATACACGTGCGAATAGACAATGTATATGAAATCCAATCAGTATTGGTAATGCGTTATTGCCAAGTACCAATAATATATATGAAAATATATATATATATACCTCAGAAAACATATATATGTATATGTATATAGTTATGTATTATTATTATTATTATTATTATTATTATTATTATTATTATTATTATTATTATTA